CTTTTACTGAAATCATTTAAAACATGACCTGATGTTAATGCTAAAATTAACAGAAGTATATCATTAGTGTCAACATGTTTGGTACGAAAAAACCTCGAATCAACTATTCGAATCTTTTCCAATGGTACATTTGAAAGCACGTTTTCTCACTCAAGTACTCGTACATAAAAAATAGAAGACACTTAATATACAATTGCATCTTGTAACATTTTCATTAAAATTAGCCATAAATTTAAATAAATTTGGAAAACATATCAACGTGTCGAAACGACAACATAAAAAGCAGTTCTTTGATGTTAACGTATCGATATATCATCTTGATAAACATATATACAGCATGATCTATAAATTTTTAATTAAATTGCAATAAATGAAACAATTAAATATAAAGTATTTTAGAAATTTATCTAAATGAATCTATTTTAATTTATGAAAATGTGTTTTATTTTTTGTATTAAAATATATTTGTTACTTTATTAAATAAACGATATTATAAAAGAAATATTTGAAAGAATATTCAAAAAATATTTGAAAAGCATAAACAAATATTTTATAAAAATAATTTAATAAACTTTATGTACGCATTATGCGCTATCATTTCTAAAGAATGCAACGCAATACATTAGCACCTCTATATTCAAAAGGGATAGTCGAGGCAAATATAAAGAGAAGTAAGATTATAAAGTAAATATAAAAACTGTATGATCGCCTACCCATTATTATGAGAGATGGTTTTATGAGCGATTGGTGCCATTGATTCCAATTCCATCGGCATAATTAAATTATTTTTCAAAATCAAAATCACAGAAAATGCAAAACTTTTTTCACTGAAAGACGTCAGCACTCCGTTGATCCGTAATCGTTTTTTTTTTTTTTTTTTTTATCAAACACTATTATTTTAATTAAATATAGTTTCGGAAGAGAACTCCTATATAACAATAGAGGATAGGAAGAAGAAACCTCGACACGTCCACTCCGTCCACAAAAGATACTAACCCGTTCCACCGAGGCGCGTTCGCTTTTATACCCACAGGCCAACGCATTTGCGACAAAGCGGGAGGAAAAGCGAACGCGGGGAAGGGTGGAAGACACGCGACCACTCGCCGACCACGTGCAACGTCTGTTTTTCCCGACCGCGTACCTCGGAGTACGCGAGGCACGGCTGCATTGCTGGGGATCGTGTGCGACGCAAAGCCTTTTGCATTTATATCGACAACGATAAGAAGATGATCGCATAGGCTTTATGCTAAAAAATGGCATCGCACAAATTATTTGGCAAACATTCATTTGGTTGTTGCATTCATCTGTTGGCTCAGATATTAAGTATTTTGACAACTAAGATATTAACCGTTAATTTAGATTTAGATATTAACTGTAATATTAACTAAATAAAATTTGTTAAAATTAAATGACGAATAAAGCTTCTTCTCCATTAGCATATATCTATAAGGTATAATTTGTGAAAAAACTATACAATCGTTTTTAACTTGGAAGAAAATCCTTTTTGAATTTAGGGAGAATGAGAGTTTTTTTTCTTTATTTTAATGAAATATTTATAAAGATTTAGTTAAAAATGTTTAGTGTTTAAAAGCATTTCTTAATATATGGAAAAAAAATCTGATTTTATATTTAATAAATAACTTATGAATATATTAAAATATTCTGTAATTATAATACAGAAAATCTTTGTTTGTTTTATCCTACTTTTTAAAATTTTTAATAAGTAATTTTTAAAATATTTTTTTCTCGGAGCAAAATTAAGTTTGATACTTAAATTTTCTACAAGGAATAATTTTATTTGAGAACTTTATTGAATATTTATGTTATATAGAATAGATAATATGCATATGTTTGCTGTTTGAAATGCTAATGACTTATCAATAAATGTAGTATCTTCGTTTATAAACGTATTAGCTCTTTGATCCATTAGATAAAGGTGCACATACGTGCGGTTGCGGAATTATATCCAAAACAGTCATACTTAGATAAGCATTATCTGTTTGAGATACATTTCCAGGCTATATGTATGCGCATTTGCGTTGAAATAATATTTTACGGCATACAAATAACAACAAATGACGACTAATGTTAGATAATTTATCATTTTTATCAATATTCAGAGTGTCAAACAAACAAAATATAATTTGTTTACGAATATGTCATTGTTAGACAAAGTTGTTAGACATATTTTAATTGTTTCTTATAACACTAATTAGTGCCACTTGTCACATGTCATGCTATATTGTTGTCATTTGTCAAGTGTAATAAAAAAAAATTGATTACAAATTAAACGTCTCGTATGGAAGTAGCGATAATAAATTTACGTAATCACGTTGATTACAATTATCTTAATTGCAGACAAAGACTTGCATTGAAATGCTTAAAAAAATAGCTTCTAAGTTTTTCCGAAGTTTAAAATTTTTCTGTCTGTCCCTTTAATCAATGTTTAAATTTTAATGTTTAATATTTAAATTTAAATTTTTTAATAAAAATATAAAAAAAGAACAAAAAATATTTTATTCTTTACATTCAAATTTATAAAAATTATACATTTTCGATAATCAATAGTTAATATATTTATATCATAATAATTAATTCTTATTAATTATTATATTACGTTAGATATATTAATAGTACATTTATCATAATCAAATAGATAAATGTTTTTTTCGGTATTTCAATAAATTTTTAGTTGCTTAACGTACCTATATGTACAATTTCTATCTAAACATAATAATTTATAAGTTTATCTATGCTTATCTATTTTTTAAATTTACGAATCGCGTAGCAGATAACATTTATTTTCCTTATTGTCAAGGATTTTAATTGCAATAAGTGGAGTTTTATCTCTACTGGATATTTAAACTTCAGAAGAAGTACGATGCGCTATTTTCAACATATCGGTTGTTCGTATGATTTATGAGGATATTAACTTCGTTCTTATCAAATTTTTAATTTGATTAAGACATGGAATTTTCATTGTTTTACATATGATACAATGTTGGACGATTTGTTGAGTCTTCGGAAATGCATAGTTTAATGCATTATTGAAATAAATCAATATTTTATGTGAATAGAAACATTTGACACATTTGGGATTATAGTATGCAGCTTTATATTACAATTTACAAACAACTTACAATTAAAAAAAAAGGAGAACAATTTAAAAAAAAAGAGGAACTTAAAATAAAATTTCAAAAAACTGGATTATTTAATTTAGATATTTGGTTTATATATTATCGTTTAAAAATATTATTCTTCATATATCATTTAAGAAAATTTATATTGTAATAACGATTATAATTGAGAAATAAATTTGCATTGTTCAAATAAAGATTAATTAGCATATCTAAAAAATAATATATTATATATCACATTGCTTATTGTATAAGTCTCGTGAGACAATCGAAATATTTGATTACCATTTGACCTCAATAGAAATTAAACAGACAACGTACTTATCATGATAATTCTGATAGGGGCGTGTCTGCATATTGTTAATATTATTGCATGTTAAAAGCCCATGATATAAATGTAAATTGCAAATTAATGATCGTTTCACAGATATTAAGTGATATTGTGATAAAAATATTTGAG